TTGGAAGGAGATGGTTTCCTCATCTCTTGGATTCATCTTTATCCGATTGTATCCTGAGTATGCACCCAAAAAACTAAGCATCTGGTGTTCTGATGTGGCATCAAAAAGTTGATTTATGCATAGGAGAGGAAAGTCTCCTTTCAATCATGTCTCATTAAGGTCAGTGTAATGAACACACATACTCAAAGAACCACTAACTTTCTTAACCATACTGACATTTTCCAGCCATGGATGTTGGTTTACCTCCCATATGAACTTTACTTCCAAAGGCTTGCTAACTTTCTATTTGATGGCTTGCAGGGGGACCTAAAGCGAAGTTGTGTTTCTTTTAAATGATTGGATGAAGGTTGGATACATCTTTAGGGGGTGTGTTATTACCACGAGTCAACTCTAGACATATCAGTTGGGATCCAAGAAAATATATTTTGGTTCCTCTAGAGATATCCATAATCTAACATCTACTTATTCAAGAGAAGGAAACCAAGCTGCACAATTTGTAAGGAGTGGTCATTAGAGAGTGGAACATAGATTAAGTCTTCTATGGAAGAAGCTCGTTTGGACATTTCATTATCTTAGAGATTAAAATTTTCTATTCTAAGAATCGTCAATGAGCACGGTCAGATTTGTTTGAGGAAGTATGAGTATGTTATTTATTGATCTCTGTGCACAACACTGACCCCCACAAGGGTTGGAAACTTGATCCTGAGGTGTGACCAAGAAGTGATGGCCCAAGATGGAAGAAGCCATTATATATCGAGTTTGACTTGATGATAATGAACATGATTGAATGAGTCATCCATCAAGGAAATTCCTTAATTATAGCAGCAAGACTTATCATTCCTTAAATCTTTATCGGTTGATTTTTAAACCTGTATAGTGGCCCAAAAGCGAGTTGATGCTTTTCGATAATCAGCCCTAGATTAAGGAAGGTGGAATATAATAAGACACCGTCAAAGCTATCATTATTAATCAGTTTCCACTTTACATTGTACCAGGATTCACTAATTCATACGTCGGTGATGAGAGGGAATTGGTGGGGTGCTTGGACTCCTTTCCGATCAGATGATCAAAAGTGATGAACTCGAAGTGTGATTACTACTATGTTGGTTATTCAAGTGCAGTGATTAGGACTTGCCAGACAGTAACTGCCTCATATAATTGTTTGAATTTCATCATTGAATTGAGTAACTCCCGTGATGCTACTTTTGAATTTTTTTTGCCTCATGGTCGGAGCATTATTAGTACCGGTTAGTTTATTCTACACAAACTGACCAGATGCCTCTATCAAATTAGTCTTTTGATATCTTTCTCGAGTTATTTACATGCTTCAATGGTGTAATAACAACTATGGTGGAAGTGACAGAATTACCTCTAATTCCTCGAGTTATGTTTCCGGGGGAAAGGCCACTTAATCGTCTTTTCATCCATGATGGCCATCAAAACAATGGCACGAAGTGCGTTGAGTAGTATATTTTCCTTCTCTGGTTGAGGCTCAAGTTGTTGGTTTGCAAGCTGAGGAGGGATATCACAATTCCCATGTTGGTCAGACTTCCTTGATAGTGAGGTTTCATTATCATCCTTGGCTTAATTCTTATGCTTTCTCTGAATCACTTGAATTATTACTTGTGCGCATTGATTGCCTCATATGCAGTTATTTCAACTTCGAGTTGATGGACAAGATTAGTGTAAGAGTGAACCTTCTCTCAAATAAATGATGAGTATAAATGTCATGGGCGGAGCATCACCCTAAGGAAAACCCCTCAAACCAACTCTGGATCAAATATTATAATTTGACAAGCTTTGGTGAAGAACCCGCGGAATTAATCCTTAAGCAACACTCCCTATTTCTTACGAAATTCCTGGGATATAAGATGAATCTTTGAAAATCCTCCTGTTTGTTATGATATGCTTCACAAATAATTTGACAAGCTTGTCAAGGATGATGATAGTGCCTCTCTTTCGAGAGTAGAACCACGTGCGAGTTTTAAATTTAAGAGTGATTAAGAACGATTGACAAAAAAACGCATTAAAGGCATGTTAAATGTTCATGATGTTTCGATAATGGTCAACGTTCTCTTAGGGGTCAGTTACCCTATCGTAGGAATCAATGTTCATGAGCTTAAAACAAATAGGGATGGGGTGTTGGAGGACTTTCTGGATTAAGTAAGAGGAGTCATGGAAGTTGTGACGAGCGAGGAGCGATCTCTATCCCTTAGAAAAAACTCTTCCCAGGTAAGGCATTATAACTCCTCATAAATGACATCATCGAAGGCAGTACTATATCAGATGAGCTACACGAGACGAATGATTGGAACTTGCAGTATCGAGAAGGTCAGCATCTTGGCCTAGTCGGGGAAGGGTTCCATTGTGGGGAGGGGGTCCAATATTGACATGTTTAAGCGAGGTATTTTCCATTGTTTGTTGGACTAGTGGTAATAAGCTTAATCTAGTTGTGTGAACATCGATTATCGGGCCTAACGTAGGAGCTGGGAGATCTTGTGCAGGAACACCTCTATCTTGCGCACTCGATCCTCTAAAGAGGGACCCGAGGTCCCTTCGTCAGTAGGGTAACGCCATCCAGGGTGGGAAAATGCTGAGGTTTGATGCCCTTTGCTCCGTGACTATCCCCTGGAATGAAAAGTGTTGGAATGAAATACTCAGTTGTTGAAAATATTTCATCTGCTGGCCATTTAGCAGGTCTTACAAGTACTTCAACAGTAGGATTGTCATTCCCATAGATGACACTAAACTTACTTGTGCTAGAAGATTCACGGTGGTAGAGTATAAATTATTGTCTTAATGTTGTATGAGAATCCATTTAACAAAAAGAAAACAACAAGAAAAGTTTCTACATTTTTGCATAGAAAACTCAAAAAGGGAAAGAACCATGAGGCCTAGCTCAATCAGAATAATCCACTATGAATTGATAATTATATACACTAATACACAGGTTCTTGTCCCACAAACAAAGAAATATTTCACATTTTCTCAAGATACAAAATATGTTGCCTAGTAGTCGGGGTGATTGTAATCAGTAATAGTTGATGAGACTCCAATATCTTGTCTTTCGGATGTATCTTTACACAGTGGTCAAAAATGATGTACTACTACGTCAGGTGCTTCGTTGTTTTGTAATGTATGTTGGGATGTCGTGGCACATATTGTGTTTTTGCAAGGGGCTTTGTAACGATGAGTGAGTGGTGGCTGATAGTGGTTGACGATGGACGACGAGAAAGTAGTCAATGGTGGTCGGCGACCGCAGAATTGGGCGGCGCTCGTTGAATTTGTGGTGTAGAACTCGGAACCTCAACCCCTCTTCCCGACCTCCCTCTAGTTCAAGTTACAAATTTGTGGTGCAGAATTGGGGGCTAGACATGTATTTATAAAGTTCATGTTATAAATAAGGAAGAAATTCAAAACAGTCTAATCAGACGACTCAAGGTAGTTCTCACAATCGGATTGCGTTTAATGGGCATTTAAGTACCTTAATGATATCATAATTGAGTGGTCTTATACTCATTGAATTCTTCTTATCGAGATGGTCAAATTGAATAAACTTGTAGATTTGAAATTTGTTTGATCTTCCAATTATGCACCGTAAGCTTTCAAAAATGGTTTAATGACTTGTTTTGAGTTTAATTTGACTTGAACTGAACAAATTTTGTTATCATTCGATTCTTCTCAATCAGCCAGCCAATTTGACTATAAGTTTGCTGAAATCGAAGTTATAGAAAATTTTTAATTGTCGTTTCAACCTTCTTGCTAAAAAATTAATTAGAAATTAATGTCTGTCAGTTGATGAAATTTATTGATGTAGACATCGAGCAACACCACACAATTTTTAATATTTGCATATTTAATATATAAATTTTATATTTATATACATAACATTCAAATCTTTAAAAAAAAATTAAAACACCACTATTTAATAATGTTTAAAAACAAAATAACTTTTTTTATATATTAATTCACGACATCAAAACATTTTATTTATAAATATAATAAATTTAGATATTAATTATGTAAATAAATAAGTATATCGTGGTGTTTATGTAAACTTTCACATAAAAAAGGGCATTCCGTGCAAAATAAAATGGGAGCCAAACTAGTTTCCATTCTCTCCTTTCACTAGTTCCCATCCCTCTCCCTCCAGCTCTGCAACCCTAATGGCATCCGTCGAAGAGGCGGAGGCGGCACACGAAGGACGGCTCCGTCGATCTCCGCGGAAACCCAATCCTCCGGTCTAAGCGCGGTAAGCACGGCGGCTGGAAAGCCTGTGGCTTCGTCGTAGGTAATCAATTGATTATCCACTAATCAACTCTCCTCCACCTTAATCTCTTCCTAAACCACTCTTAACCATCATTATTTACTAAGACTAGAAGATTCTATATGTCATTAAGGCGTTAACAGCAGACCGTTTGGAGCTGTTTATTTGATGCGGTGACTTTTTGAAAACGCATCTGTCTGTTTGGGTAAACTGCGTTTTGGCAACTTTTACGTTTTTAAAAAACTGAAAAACAACATTTTCATCACACCATGCGGTGACAGCTTTTTAGCTGCGGTATGATTTTTTCAAAAAAAATAAAAATTTACAATAGTCGTCACACCTAACTTATCAGCATATTATTCAATAAGTTACCGCTACCCCAAACAAATTAGAATGGATTTAGGAGGAGAAAAATGAAGCTTTTGCCTGCTTGTAAAAATGGATTCGTGGAAGAATGAAAGCCGCATGTTTTGTAGATAAGCTTCATTTACTTCATTCGTAATCATGCATGTGAAAGATTTGATTTTTATGTTCTCTTTGGTGTGTGATGAAACTCATATTTAAAGCACTTATAAATTTTCAAAATAAATAAAAAAAATAATTGAAAAACATTTTATATGTAAGTTCTAGTTTAGAGTTCGTGATAATTATAAATAAAATTTTTATTTTCACTCTAATTAATGTTGCTTTTGATATAATTATATTATAAAATGATAGTTATTGGTTGATATATGCATGCAGTGTATGAGGTGTTTGAGAGGATGGCTTATTATGGGATTTCATCAAATTTGGTGCTTTATATGACTAATAAGCTCCATGAGGGCACCGTGACATCATCAAATAATGTTACCAATTGGGTTGGAACTGTGTGGCTGACGCCTATTATTGGCGCCTATATTGCAGACGCTTATCTCGGTCGATATTGGACTTTCATATTCGCATCGATCATTTATTTTATGGTGAGTTTATCATAATTTGATTTCATTTTATTATTGAAAATAATCCAGAAATAAACTAAAAATAACTCAGGAAACCCTGCGCCGCACATAGAGCTACGTTAAGATTCCCCACAGAAAATTTATATATATATATATATATTGAAAATAAAAATGATGAGATTTTTCATGTGATATGAAAGATTTCGGGGGTAAAAAATGATGAGATTTTTCATGTGATATGAAAGATTTTGGGGGTAAAAATATAAGAAGTAAAATTTAGATGTTTGATATGTAAATATATAAGAATTGGATGATATGTAAGTATATATCCTTTAATTAAGTTGGATAAGTTAATTAAATTGATTGACCGTTGACCAAGGTAAACGTGGGCCCGAGAAATGATGGGGCATTGTAAATAATTGAGAAGGATAGGATGAGATGAGTGTCCTACGGTTGACATATACTCGCTTCTCCATATAGCTTGACATGGTCAACTACACGTAGGATTTCTGATCTAGTCTTAAAAGGCTTCATAATTAAATAAAGTTTATGTACATATCACAATCTTTATATATATATATATATATAAAATATTTTGAGTCTGTTTGGTGCAGCTGTAGCTTATTGAATAATTTGCTGATAAGCTGGGTGCGGTGACTATTACAAATTTTTATTTTTTTGGAAAAACCAGACCGTTGCCAGTAAGCTGCCACCGCACTTAGATAGGTGCGGTGTGAAAACGTTGTTTTCTACGTTTTGAAAACATATAAGGTGTCAAAAAGCAGTTTACCCAAACAGGCTACCCAAACAGGTCATATGCGTTTTCAAAACGTCACCGCACCAAATAAGCTGCCCCAAACGGGTCCTTTATCTATGCCTTAAAAAAGTGTATTTAATTACTAAAAAAATTAAAATTTGGGTATAATGTAAAAAAGTAGAATTTAGATGTTTCAATGCATAGGAATTGGGTGATATGTATATAAATAACCCTAAATTTTATATCAATGTTCTTATGTATTTACATATTTAATATTTAATTTTTCATATTACGTATATAACACTCAATCTTTTTATATTAATGAAATTAATATAAAAATTAATATAAGATTAACTAAAAGTTTTCTTACATTTATTTTAAATTTTATATTTATTTCGATTTTAATGGATAAATTTATGTTAATTTATATTTAAATTTGTATTGTCTAAAATAAATTAATATTCACTCATATAAAACTATCAGTTATTTCATAAATTAATTCATATACTTTTGAATCATATAAATTTGCTACATAAAATGGTGAATTTAAGTCATATTTCTTATAATTTAAGAGATTAAAAAAAGTGATAAAAATTATAGGATTTGCATGATTAATTAAACCATATATAAATTTTCACACAATTTTTTTAATGAGAAAAATACCCAAATTCAAATTCATAAACTAGAAAATGTATTTAGAAAGATATATAATCTCTAATTTTAGCAAAGTTATAGTTAGTAAAGTAGTTTGATGAGATGAATTCATCAATGGGAGACCCAACGAACCCCTGAATTTTTCATGCACAAGTTAGTTTCGCTGTAATAAAAAATTCAGCGAAAAGATTAGATGATATCAGAGTTAACCCAAAACACAATAGAAATGTAAGTACTTTTATTGAATTTAAATAGGATTACAATGAAGACTCTTCAAACCAAAGATGAAGATAACAAATATAAAATGTCACACTCAGAAATTAGGGCATAGTTCGTAGTGGCAATGTTGCAACCGAGGAAAGTAGAGGTTATTAAAGGATGTACGGGGAATGGACAACAGACTGGTGACTAGGGGGATGGGTTGGATGGGGTAGAGCTAGTGGGTGTACGTTATGTCGTACAATATGCCCACAAAGCCTCCGAGAGTTTATGGTTCCACTCTTTCTTGTTGGCTTGAAGAATCTTCTTGATAAGGATAACTAAGGCCATCTTAAAAGCCTCAACCAAACCATTTGCTCTCGGATAATAGATTGTCAAATCTTGTCAATTGATGTGATGGCGTCGAGCGAATCTATTAATCTTGGTGTTTTTAAAGGTTAACCCATTATCAAAGATAATGCGACACGATATACCAATTTATAGACGATGTTATTCTTAAAGAAGTACAACACATTATATGTATTAACTTCTCTTAATGGGATAGCTTCTGCCCACTTAAAGAAATAATCTGTGGCTGCAAGAATAAATTGATGTCCTCGAGAGGACGGAGGGTTATTAGGCTCTACAATGTTAGTGCTCTAGACCTCAAAAGGCTATGATGCAGCTATCAGATCCAGTAAATTCAGAGGTTGGTGTATCGCCAGATTAAAAATCTGGCATTGATGACACTGCTTGGCATATTCAATACAATCAAGGGGCACCATAGGCAAATAATAAAAAGATGTTTAATCCTGATTTTTAACTTAGGACCCGATTGATGGGACCAACAACTGCCATCATGGACCTGAGCCATAATCTTTTGGGCCTCATCATTACCAACACATCGTGACCACATCTGGTCAGAAGAGTGCCGATACAAAGTATCAATGATGATGGCAAATGAGAGATTGAAGTGTGGGAGATAGGTTGTTGGGTAAAACCAAGGAGGCTTGGGATGGTGGTTTGGGAATTGTAGCAGGTGCATGGGCTTTTGAGGGAGGATGATGACAATGACTGTGTTAAGGGGAGGAGGATACGGGATTGGTTTTGTAGTGTATAAAGTTTGAATGAAAAATGCAAACAGAAGAAGAAGAAGAAGAAGAAGCGAAGCAGAGAAGATGATATCTTATTAATTAGCTTACGCTTATCCCTCACTAGCTACAATGCCAGGTATTTTATAGACAGAGTAGATGATTCTGGAGAGGAAGGGTATTACAATAATAAGCTAGACATAATTAGTGGAGAATGTATTGCCACAGACCTAGGTAAGTTCGTTATTATCCCCCCCTCAAGCTGATACATCTTGGTTGTACTGTCAGCTTGGCGCGAAGAATGAGAAAATGAGGTGTTGGTAGAGACTTTGTGAATATGTCGGCCAGCTATTCACTTATGGGAATGTGTTTTACTACCAGTTCTTTGGAGG